ACAACATGAAGCTGGTGCTTCAAGGGGAGAGAGGAATTGAATTCCTCGAGGGCCTTCGACCCTCGGCAGCTCTGTAACCTCAGGTCGACCCTACACCAGTTCAACCTGATCCAGAGGTACCTCCCCCGGAGAAGCCACCCACCAGAGCTCTTGGTCGGCGCCGCAGGACCGCACCACCACCATTATCAGCTGCATCATCATCATCCAGGGCCGGGCACTCTACCTCTGGACCCCACTTCAAGGAGCGAGTGGATCGCCTCGATGCACATTATGTGGGAGTCACTACTTGGCTCGACCGAACCGGCAACCTCATAGAGAGGATGGCTCGACGCCAGGGCGTCCTCTCTGACGACGAGGAGTGATCTTGCCCACGACGAGGTAGCCCTTGAGGGATACATGTGGCTGAGCCAATTTCTTTCGCCCACTTCTCCACTTGCAAACTTTGAACTCTTTTTATTTTTATTTTCTCTTTAATTAGTGTGTGTGCAAATACTTTGTGAGTTCTTTATTTTGAATCGTATTGTGAAACTTTGTTATGTGTAATAACCTCGCCTCAAGCGAGAATGTGTGTGTGTTTGTGTTTTGTTTTGTTTTGTTTTTCCTTTGAAGCTCAAACATCCTACCCCGGGAAATTCTCCAACTTTCATTCACCAAGCCATTTGGTAATATCGTTCTACCCCCTATTTTACGCCATTGAGGGCAATGTCGAGCTTAAGTGTGTGTGGGGGGGTAATTTATTATTATGCTTGTGTGTGTGAATCTCGTGCTTAGTTCTCATGTGTGCTTAAATGAATTGATGTCTTGACTTGGTTACTTCTTTATTACAATTGCCATGCATTGAAGTTTTTGAAATTGGAATTGATGATTGGGCGGCTAGGTAACCATGTGAGATTTGTGTCGATCGTCTTTTTCATGTGAGATAGATACCTCTCGCCATGGTGTGTAACATTCACCGTTGTCACTAGTGAGTATGATGGAGGCATATGATTAGTCCACACCCAAAAGTCGATTGTCAACCCCTTTCAGTCATGTGAGCTTGAAAGAACGACCCCCACCCATCCTTTCTTCGTGTCAAAGTGTCAGTCAACCTTGTGTCTCGGAGTTCTTTCTTTTGAGATCCATTGAGGTTCTACATAGGTGGTTTTGCACGGTTCTTGCTAGAAATGAGAAGGTAGTGTTGGAGGAGAGTTCTTAAAAGGAGATCATTGTTCGTTAAATGAAAGAAGTGGAATGTGTTTAGCTCTCTAGTATCCCCCTTGGAAAAAAAATGAAATGAAAATGAGGTAATAAAACGGGGTAAATAAAAGTAGAGAGTGGATACAAAAGTCTAAGTGTATGCTCTAGAAAGGGTTTCTTGGCACCCAAGCCATTGAAACACCTAAATTGTTTGATGACCTCCTTCACTACTAGGTTTGAAATATAAACAGCCTGATAGGCCAAAGAAGTGTGCTTGAATGTAGTTCGTGATTGGTAGTGGTTTGGAAGAAGGGAAGTGTGGTTTTTGGCCAATGCCAGTGGCCTTTGTTGTAGGAAAGGTACTTAGTCGAGACCATAGAATCTTGGGTTTTAGGTTGAAGATGTAGGACCTCATGCCATGTTTTCCACCACCCAAAAGCCTTTTCCCCATGTCCAAGACAATTACCGGTCATTTGAACCCGTGTCTAAGACCTCCAGACAAATTAGTGATGACAACCGTCTCGTGAACTCTAGCATTTAGAGGTTGTCGCCGTGGTGAAGAGACGATAGGGCTGAGTGTTAATGATTGTGCACATCTTTTTCACCAAAAAGGTCCTGACCCCACTGATCGAGAGTGAGAGCTTCATTCTTGTTTTGCATGTTCATATCTTACCCCAATGAGGACCTATGTTGCCCCGTTGTTTGTTCCTTGGACTTGAGTTCTATGAATGCTTAGTTGTGGTTGGTGAGTAGTCCGGCCGAGACTTACATTGATTTGTGAACAGGATGAGAATTTTTCATTTGCACATTCTTGATGCAATCAAATGTTGTTTGTGGTAGATGTCGGTATTGTTTGAGGCGGTTCGTGTCTTGATGCCCAATAGTCATTGAGTTTCACAGTTTGTGCCTTTGGATTTGTCCCCAATTTATTTGGTTAGGTTGAGATATCACCTAGGTTGAAAATGGTTTGCTTGGGGACAAGCAAACGTCTAAGTGTGGGGGAGTAATTTGGGCTCATTTGTACACTTTTTACCCCCGATTTGCATAGTCGTTTGAAGCATTTTTACTCCGCGAGGTTTGGTTTTACGCCGAGTCTTGCCTCGTTTTGGTTTTTTTTCAGACTTTGGCAGCTAGAACGAACCCCGGAGTGGAAAGTTGGGAGAAAGGGCGAAAAATCAAGTCAAAGGTGAAAGCAGCAGTAGATCACGGTCTGGGCTGTGTGTTCACGATATTAGGCGCTACCCATGAACATCCAGACATGCAGAGCACAAATTGATTTCACTGGACACAAGTCAGTTCACGGTCGTAAGACCGTGAACTCAGGCCGTTGCCCGTGAACTGGACTTAGTAATGCGGCGCGTTTCGACTTGAGATCACGGTCCAGGCTTTCATTTCACGGCCGTGAAATGGGACCATCAACTGAGCCCGATCTGGGTATATAAAGGAGGTTGAGCTAAAGGAGAAAATGGAGAGTCCTAGTGAGAGAAACTTTTTCTTCTTCGGATTACTAGAGTGAGAAAGTGACGAACAAAAGAAGAGGAGAAGCTAGGGTTTCATCTTCAAGCAAGGATTTGGGAATTCTTCCCCCGAAGGAGGATCTCTTCAACACAAGGAGTAAGGCTAGCATCTTTGATAGTTTTCCTTCTTCTCTCTTATGTTTTCCCTTCTCCTAGCATGGAGTAGTCCCTTCTTTCACTTGGGTGTTTGTAAACCCTAGCCACAATTATGTGAATATTTGTATGGATTGAATGATTTGTGTGTGGTGGTGTTTAATGTGAATGTGGAGGTATTATTCAAGAATGATTGTGTTGTGTGAAATCCTATCAATCTAATTGCCATTCTAACCTAGGTAGAGAGAAAAACCCCCTTCCTTTCTTTGAAAGAGGCTTGAATGTTGGGTTTTCTTAGGCGATTCGTTGTCTCCTAGTTAGTTTAATGCAGGGCAAACCTTTTATTTTGCAGTAGCACCTAGGTATGGTTGTGGGTGGTTGTCCAAACTCCGATTGACAACCCTTAGTCAATAGGTCGAGAGAGTCATGTTGGTGGCTTGGATCAAATTACCTTCCCTCGACCTAGAGACCAAAAGAGTGGCCCTTGGCTACTTCTTGAACATCCCTAGGGTTTACAACCCCCTTACCACACACGACCATTCGATCGAACAAGTCGTAATTGTTAGCTAGGTGGAGCAACACCCGGGGTGAAGCCTTCTTAATTAGTGTCAAATCCATTTACTTTCGTAAACGTTTTAGCTATTGATTGTTGTTTTCACCAAAAATCAACCGCTAGATAATGTTACAAACAATCAAAGTAGGGGTACATGAACCGGTCCAATTCACTGCTTTATCTATTCGATTGTAAATGAGGAGTGCGCCAGAGGAACCGAGAGTTTCCCAATGGTCCTCTTACAATGGTAATCGAGGGCAGATAATGAGACACTCTAGGTTTATATGGTGGTACTTCACATTTACAGTCTTATTCTACTACACAACTTCCATTCTTGAGCAAGTCTGTCTTAAATGCCTATTATTTGATTTTTGTGAACGTCTCATGGGCTTATTTTCTCAATAAGTAAAAATAGCACCATGTTCTTTACTCCCTTGTCTATGAAGGTTTGACTATTTTGCTCAGACTGCATTTCTTGTATTGCTTGGACTTGCTATATGCATAAAACACAATAGTAAGCTGGTTAAATATTCTTAAAGTTGTGGCAAAGATAAAGAAACGCTCTTAAGAATTGTGCCTAACTTGTGGTGGTTTCTTAGATGATTATGTTGGTTATTTTTAGTTCCTCAGTATATAAGTTTCTTCAGATGCTGCCATGTCTCACTGATGAAGTTGGATGATGGGGTAGAGAAGCGCTGGATTTTGGTTAGTTCTTCTCATCTCGAATTTGCTGCAATGGCAATAATTGGGTTATGGATTCTTGTTCTTTCTTCTAATCTTGAATGCATTTGGAATGGATGCAGCTGGTCAAGAACTCTGGGGATTGGATAAGTTCTGCCGTCATTTGTCTACTGGATTCCTTATTGGGTATGACTACATCTGTAGCCTACGGTGGATGATGTTCTTTCTTGGATGATTGATATAAGGATCTACCCCTTTTTCTTAATTTTCCTATGGTGACCTATCAATATAGGCATTGACCATGGTCGGTTTATCTGTACGTTGTTAATATGTTTCTTTGTGGTTGCTTAGAATCAGTAATTCCAAATATTTGATATCTTTCTCTTTGAATGAAATCTCAATTCCAGCGATGGTGGAGAATGAAATAATGTAATGTCATTGATAATTAGGGTAAGAGTTTAATGGTCTTGTCTTTTGGTAAAAATCATATCATATGGCCAACTCTAGTAGTAGTTGATTATGAAGAAGCAGAAAAGGACCTATGCTTTATGAATTCCTCATTACTAATTAGGCTCTTAGTTGAACCTATATAATGTAATGTAGTCGTGATACTGATGATTTAGCATCTCTTTGTCATTGCTTAAGCTATGGAATTGCCAAAGAGGCGTATTCCCTTTTCCAAGAGCATTTGGATGGATAATTTTTAAAGCAAAAGTATGAATTTGCCAATGATGAGGCATTTTGCCTTAGCTGAAATCCAAAGCTGCAGATCTTGAATATTGACTGGTCTGCTGGTATTGGCACAACAAAATGAATTGGCCATACAGAGTAAATAATGCAGACCATATTACACAAGACCGATTACTGAGAGTAATCGCAATGAAACATACTAGTAGCATAAATAAACAAGGCCATCGTATAAAAGAAAACAATCCACAACAAATGTTGTCTCATGCTGGAAGTGAAATATTATCCAAAAACCCAAACCGACGAGAGAAGCAAGAATTCATAGGAATAAAATTCGCCCAAAATTACTGAAAAAAAGTCTTCGGCATTTTGTGGTTATTTTTCGGTCAAAATGTTGCTTGTAGACGTCCATAACTTCCGGAATAATTTTGCTGCGTATGGTATTAGATGGATCTATAATCAAGTTCACTACCAGCCACATCCCTGCATTCAATAAAGATAATTAAATAGAAATTCGAATGTTTCAATGTAAAAGCTAAAACAAAATGATGATTATAGTAGATATTGGAGAAAACTAGTTCATACCCCATATAAGAATTATCATCAGCTTCATCATGCAACATCCATTGACACACCAAGAAACCGCAATCATAGCTGCGGGATAAGAACCAAATTTTATTCACAAACCAAATATGCCTAAAAATCCAAAAATTTACAAAAAAAAAATAAAATAGAACCAATTACTAACCTATTCAATTGTCTAGGAACATTTGGCGTGATTACGATTGAGAACTCATGCACCTTGGGCACCTCATACGCTAGTGGCTTACTCGTAAATGCGTCAATCATCTTGTAAAGAAAGACCAACTATATCAATGACTCAATATATGAGAATTTTACCGCTGTTGTGGAGTTTGGAGGTTTTTTGTGCTACCGCTGGGTAGCCCTGCCTGCGTCTGTGCTTGGGTCGGATAGTTAGATCTAATTTCCGAGCGTGTTTAGACAGATTCCCTTGTGTTTTGTGGTTCTATTTGGTTGAGGGGTTAGCCTCAATCGTGGTTTGCACAGTTTTGGTAGTACTTGGCTGGAATCTGAATAGTCATGGAGGAGGAAATAGAGGAGCAGCTACAAAACCTCTGCCTCACAGAGGAGGAAACGTATGGGGTTACGGTGGAGAAGGCGGATCTTAATAGTGCTGAAAATGAGGCCCTGGAAGAACTGGGTGTGATCGGGAAGCTGTTGTCTCACAAAGACCCAAACATTACGGTGTTGACGAAGGTCATGGCTCAGGCATGGAAGATGAAGAAGGGTTTTGAACTTCAGAGAGTTGCAGAGAAGATCTATGATGTGCAATTTGACTGCCTCGATGCTAGAAAGCAGGTCCTATATGGTGGCCCATGGCACTTTGATCATCAGTCGTTCCTGCTCCGAACAATTGACAGAGATAAGGATCCAGTGGAAATGGAATTTTAGGATCTAGAAATATGGGTCAGGGTTAAGAAGATTGTACGCAGTATGAGAACGGCGACAATGGCGGAGAAAATAGGAAATCTAATGGGGATGTTCCTCATATTTGATGCATACAGATTAGGAGTGTGGAGTACATCAATGCGTCAGAGAGTGAAGATCGATATCTCAAAACCGATACGGTGGGGGGTTCTCATAGAGAATGGGGAGGAGAAAACTTGGCATAGAACAATGTATGAAAATCTCCTTTTATTCTGTTACAACTGCGGTCTTATAGGCCATCAACGAATTTGCCCAAATCCAAAAGCAGAGGATGAAGAAGGTTTGGATGAACAATACAGTAAATGGCTACACGCCTCACCGCTGAAGAAAATTAGTCGGACAGAGAAAAAGGAAGGGGAGCGTATGGCCGGACTCTGGACGGAGCTACAACATATGCGAATCTCCGGTCAACAACAAATAAGGAAAGAAACAGAGATCACGAAGGAAGGGGCTCCGGAAACGGGGAACGGAAAACCCAAGGCGAGAATCAAGTTAGCGATTGATTGGGAATTGATAAGGAAGGAATGAGAAGAGGGAAAAGGCAAGAGGTAATGGTGCTGGAAGAGGGAGAAAGCAAAGAGGAACAAAATTTGAAAGGGAAAGAGTGAGACATGGAAGGTAAGCGAAGCGGCAATGGAGAAAATAGTGGGCATGAGGATCATGGGAAGGCTCGAGAAAAGGAGGACCAAAACGGAAGGAATTCAAAGATGGCGGGTGCTTGTGCGGGAGAGTCCTCCCAATGTCAAAGTATCACTAAAGATGGGAAAGGTAATGACACAGAGGTAAATATTAGGATGGAGAAAGCCAGTTGGGCCCAGTCCAGGGTGACAAGCAAGGGCAGCCCAAAGCGGCTGAACAAGAGGAAGGCTTTAGACAACAGATCTGGTTGAGATGAGAGAAGGTATATTTCCCATCCCCTTTGTAGCGATGGATACAAGTGAAGGTGGACTGGGTCAAGAGAGACAAGAAGAAGGGGCGGAAGTGAATAAAGGAGGGAAGTGGAAAAGAAAGGTTCGACCAGGGGAACGCCCTCTTGGACAAGAAATGAAGCAGGTCAGTGGTCTGAAGAGACGGGAGATGGAGACAATAAGTTAGGGAATGAGTTACATAGAGGCCGCCTATCGCAATGAAATTATTAAGCCTTAATTGCCGGGGACTGGGGAATCCCGAGGCAAAGGCAGTTGTCTCCGAACTTGTAAGACAAGTTCATCCCCAAATTCAGTTCTTAATGGAAATAAAATTGGCAGGCAAAAGGTGGGAAGCACAACAAAGAAGGCTCCAATTTCATAATGGGATAGGAGTACCAGCTTGGAACTCGGCAGGAGGTTTGGCCCTCTTTTGGGATGATAGTATCGACTTTACTTTGAAGACCCTCTCAAATAATCATATTGATGGGGTAATAAAGTATGGGAATGAGGAATTTGAGTGGAGGTTTACGGGGTTCTATGGTTGGCGAGAGGGTGAAAACAAGTTACAATCTTGGAATCTACTTCGGACCCTTCACAGCAGGATGTCATTACCTTGGCTTGTGATGGGGGACTTTAACCAGGTCCTGTGTGGTACAGAGAAGAGAGGAGCAAGGATAGAGGATGAATAGGACATGCAAGCATTTGCCAATGCCCTAGTAGATACAAATTTGGAAGACTTGGGTTTCTTGGGATACCCTTTCACATGGGATAACGCAAGAGTAGGAGCCGCGTTTACAGAGGAAAGATTGGGCAAGGCTGTTAGTGATAATGATTGGGACCAGAACTACCAAAACACTCTTGTGAGGCACTTGGGCCACCCAAACTCGGATCACAGGGCCTTATTGTTGGACACAGAAGGAGAAGAGATGGAGGAAATTTTGTGGGGAAGGAGATTTCGGTATGAAACAAGTTGGATAAAGGAAGGAGAGAGTAAGGAGATAGTGCGAGAGACTTGGGAGCGAGATTGAGGAGCGAAGGCTAGGGCTGCAAACGAGCCGAGTCGAGTCGAGTTTTTGCTTAGCTTGAGCTCGGCTCGTTTATTAATTTTTCAGCTCGAGCTCGGCTCGAACTCGAATTTTGATAATCCAGCTCGAGCTCGAGCTCGGCTTGAATAAAAATAATCTAGCTCGAGCTCGACTCGGTAGAGCTCGATAAATGCTCATTAACATAGCTTGTCAAGCTGAGTACAAGCTCGGCTCAAGATGGGCTCGATTTAAAATAATTTTTGCTGGAAAAATGTATAAACATAAGAATTTAAATGATAGAAAGAACACTAGAAACTACAAATAACATCTAAATTTCATACACATCTGTATTAGAAGACAATGTTCATGTTTAAAAGAGTAATTCATCCTTCCACAAACCCTAAACAAGGCAGCTCGCGAGCTTAGCTCGACAAGCCACCGAATCAAGCTAGCTCGCGAGCTTATCAAGCTGAGCATGGTCTAGCTCAAGCTTGGCTCGTTAACTAACGAGTTGGCTCGCGAGCCGGCTTGTTAAATAACGAGTCGAGTGTCGAACGAGTTTTTTCCGATTCGAACGCCGAGTTGCTCGCGAGCGGCTTGGCTCATTTGCAGCCCTAGCGAAGGCTACTGATCGACTGAGGGCTTGCAAGAAAGAGCTACAGAAGTGGAGTAGGGAGAAGTTTCATCAATGGCGAGAGAGATTGAAGTTAATTGATTAGGAGCTGAAGCGCCTTAAACAGGAATCGAGGGAGGAAAACTGGGTGGCGATTCGCCGCAGTCTAGAAGCGAAAAGAGTCGAAATCCTTGTCCAATAAGAGAAACGGTGGCACCAAAGATCAAGAATAAGTTGGCTTCGAGCAGGAGACAAAAATACCAAGTTCTTTAATGGACGACCATCAGAACGCAGAAAAAGGAATACCATAAGGAGGCTTATCAATGAAGAGGGGAAAATTTTCCTGGGGCAGCAAGAGGTAAGTAAATGCCTTACTGACTACTTTAGAAAGCTGTTTGAAAGTCAGGGTGATAGAGGTGCAAGGGGAGTTACGGACACCGTACCTAGAAGAGTAACATCTTACATGAATGAGTGGTTGTCAAAACCGTTCACTGCCTACGAAATTGAGGAAGCGTTGAGACAAATGGGATCGGCAAAAGCACCTGGCGAAGATGGTTTTCCAGCTCTATTCTATAAAGAGCATTGGGGTACAGTGGGGAAGCAGGTAAGAGAGGAGATCCTTCATTGTTTGGAGACGGGAAAGATTCCAGCAAACCTAAATAGAATGATGTTGTGTCTGATTCCCAAAGTTAAGAGCCCAAAAGCCCCAAAAGAGTTCAGGCCAGTAAGCCTTTGTAACGTCATGTACAAGATCCTGTCAAAAACAGTGGCAAACAGGCTAAAGGTGATCTTAAATCAGATTATTTCAGAAACCCAGAGTGCTTTTGTTCCTGGGCGCTCGATTCATGATAACATTCTAGCCACTTACGAATGCTTTCATGCCATGAAAAAGAAAGAAAGAGAAGCAGATAAAGAAAGGGCATTTGGCGGCAAAACTAGACAAGGCCCAAGCGTACGATCGAGTGGAATGGCAGTATGTGAAGAGAGTAATGGAGAAGTTGGGGTTCGAACAGAGATGGATCAATCTGATTATGGCGTGCATCTCAAGTGTCAGTTACTCAATCGTGGTTAATGGGCACCAAACGGAATCGATAAATCCAACCAGAGGCTTAAGACAGGGGGCCCTTTGTCTCCATACTTATGCTGATCTGTGCAGAAGGGCTGTCATCTATGATCAAGGATGCTGAAAGTAAGGGCGAGTGGCATGGAGTGAAGGTGATTCGGAAGGGACCGGCGGTCTCCCACCTATTGTTTGCCAATGATTGCCTATTTTTTGCCAGATCAAATCATCAGGAGAGCGAAAAAATTAAGCAAATCTTATACGACTATGAACAAGAGTCGGGATAGATGATAAACCTTGGAAAATCAGAACTAAGCTTTGGCAACAATGTGGAGGAGCAGCGAAGAGAAGAAGTGAAAAATATCTTGGGCATCCGGGAAGTCTTGAAAAATGAGAAGTATTTGAGCCTTCCAACGGTAGTGGGACGATCGAAGAAACTGGTGTTTGCTTACATAAAGGAGAGGATCCGGGATAGGATTATGGGATGGAAAGTAAGACTAATTTCAACGGCTGGAAAGGATGTCCTGATAAAAGCAGTGGCATTGGCTCAAGGTAACTTTGCCATGTCCATTTTCAAACTTTCAGCGGGTCTGATCCGAGAGATTAATAGTGTTATATCAAACTATTGGTGGGGAGAGAATGGGGAAAAGAACAGGATACATTGGAAGAATTGGAGATACGTGTGTAAGGATAGAGAAGTTGGGGGAATGGGTTT